AGTTAAACTTGCCCCACCTGCCTGCTCCTGGCCCATATCCCTCCAAACGATTCCGAGTCATGTACTTATCCAGATGTCTTTTAAATGTTGTAATTTTGCCCACATTCCCTACTTCCTCAGGAAGTTCATTACAAACACGAACCACTTCTGCAGTTTTTTTTTAAAAAAAAATTGCCTCGAGTCTTTTTTTAAATCTTCCTCCTCTCTCCTTTAAGAATATGCCCCCTTGTCTTGAAATCCCTCACCCTAGAGAAAAGGCACCTGCCATTCACCTTATCTATACCCTTCATGATTATATAAATGTCTGTAAGTCACCCCTCCAATTTCTGGACTCCAGTGAAAAAAGTCTCAAACTATCCAGCTACTCCTTATAACTCAACCTCCATTCCTGGTAAATCTTTTCTGAACCCTTTCCAGCTTAATGATATCCTTCATATAACAGGCGATCAGAAGTGGACACATTACCCCAGAAGGCGCCTCACCGACATTCTGTACAAGGTCAACATAACATCCCAACTCCTCTCAAACGTCTGAGCAATGAAGGTAAGCAGACTAAACACCTTCTTCACCACCTTGTCCACATGTAATGCAAAAATCAAGCAATGATGCACTTGAACGCCTAGGTGTCTCCGTTCTACAACACTATCCAGGGCCCTACTTTTTATTATGCAAGTCCTGCTCTTGTTTGTTTTACCAAAACGCAATAACTTGCCCTTATCTAAATTAAACACCACCTGCCATTCCTCAGCCCATTGACTCAATAGATCAAGATGTCTTTCTAATCTTGGACAGCTTCTTCACTGTCCACTGCTGCCTATTTTGGTGTCATGTGCAAACTTACTAACCATGCCTTCTATATTCTCATCTCAATCATTACGTAAAAGGTCAAACAGAATTGGACCCAGCACCAATCCCTGTGGAACACCGCTGGTAACAGGAGTCCAGTCTGAAAAGCAATCCGCCACCACCAGTCCCTGTCTCCTGTCATTAAGGCAATTTTGTGTCCAATTGACAAGCCTGAATCACCCTGAATCCCATATGATCTAACTTTACTGATGCGCCCACCATGTAGAACCTTGTCAAAGGCTTTACTCAAGTCAAAGTAAACAATGTCTACCGCTCTGCCCTCAACAATCTTCTTTGTTATTTCCTCAAAACTCAATCAAGTTTGAAATACAATTTCCCCTGCATAAAAACATGCTGACTATCCCAATTGTTCCTTGCCTCTCTAAGTACGTAAATCATATCTTTCACAATTACCTCCAACTACTTACCCACCACCGAAGTCAGCCTCGCAGGTCTGTAGTTCCCAGGCTTCTCCTTACATCCCTTAAGCAAAGGCATAACTCTAGCCATTCTCCAGTCATCTGGCACGTCGCCTGTAGTTATAGATGATACAATATTTCTGCAAGGTGCCCCATGTTTTCTCTTTAACTTATCACAATATGATGGAATGCACTAGAGCAGGACCTGGAGATTTAGAATCATAGAATAATACAGCATGGAAACAGGCCCTTCAGCTCAAACTGATCCGTGCTGACCATGGTTCCCACTCAGCTCATTCGAATTACCCAAACAAGAGGGATATTTGGTCTGTATCCCTCTTAAACCCTTGCTATCTGTGTACTTTTTTAAATGTTGTGATTGTAACTGCCTCAGCCACTTGTTCTGGCAGCCCATTCCATACATCCACCACTCTCCAAGAAGTTGCCTCTCAGGTCCTTCTTAAATCTTTCCCCTCTCTCCTTAAACCTATGACTTTGAGTTTTAACTCCTCAACCCTGGGAAAAAGACGATGTGCATTCATTCTAACTATGCCCCTCATGATTTTATACACCTCAATAAGGTCACCCCCTCATTCACCTACATTCCAAGGAATAAAGTCCTATCCAGGCCAACGTATCTCTCTAATTCAGGTCTACTAGCCCTGGCAACAGCCTCGTAAATCTTTTTTGCACAAGTTCCAGTTTAACTGTGTCTTTCCTGTTACAGGAAAGACAAAAACTGTACACAATACTCCAAGTGCAGCCTCACCCATGACTTGTACAACTGTAACACAATGTCCCAACTTCTGTGCTCAGTGCCTTGGTCAATGAAGGCCAGCGTGCTAAATGCCTTCTTCACCACCTTGTCAACCTGTGATGCCGCTTTCAATGAACTATGTACTTGTACTCCTAGGTCTCTCTCTTCCACAACACTCCTCAGGACCTTACCATGAACTGTATAAGTCCTATCTTGATTTGATTTTCCAGAGTGCAACACCTGATATCTATCTGTATTGAATTGCATTTGCCAATCCTCAAACCACTTCCCCATCTGATCTAGATTCCTCTGTAATTTTTGATAACTTTCCTTGCTGTCAGCGATACCTCCTAGTCTTGTATCATCTGCAAACTTACTAATCATGCGTTGTACATTCACATCCAGATCATTTATGTACGTAACAAAGGTCCCAACCCCGACCCCAGTGGCACATTGCTCATCACAGGCCTCCAATCCACGAAACAACCTTCAACCATCACCCTCTGCTTCCTACCATCGAGCCAATTTTGGTATCCAATTAGCGAGCTTTCCCTGGATCCCATGCAACCTAACCTTCTTGACTAGCCTACCATGTACGACCTTGTCAAAGGCCTTGCTAGAATCCATATCGACAGCATCCACTGCCCTACCTCATTTATCCTCTTGGTTCCCTCTTTGAAAAACTCTGAAAGATTTGTCAGACGTGACCTCCCATGCACAATTCCATACTGACTATCCCTAATCCGATCTTGACTATCCAAATGTAGGTTGATCGTGTCCCTCAGTATCCTGTCCAATAACTTGCCTACCACTGATATCAGGTTCACTGGCCTGTAGTTCCCTGGCTTGTCTTTGCTACTTTTTTTAAACAATGGAACAACATTGCCATCCTCCAATCTTACTGAAGTTCACCAGTGGCTGAAAATGAAGCAAAAATCTCTCAGACCCCCTGCAATTTCCTCCCTAGCCTCCCACAATGTCCGAGGATTGACTTGATCGGGCCCCGGGTATTTGTACACCTTAAAGCACCGTAAGGCCGAAACACCACCTCTCTGGTAATATGTACGCATTCCAAAACATTCCCATATTTCCCTTAATTCCTTAGCAGCCATGATTCTCTCCTCGTAAAGACTGAGGGGAAATATTCATAAATCTCCCCCATCACCTGTGGCTCTACAGGATATCCATCTTTATACTTTTGAAGATGCCCATGTGAACTGCTTTCAAAAAACAGTATTTCTTTCCCTGAGTTTTCTCGCCTCCCCTTTTCTTTTCTCCACAATAAAAACTGATGCGAAATATTCCTTTAATATCTTTCTCCTCTCCTGACATTCAACACAAAGGTAACCTCTTTGATCTTTACAGGGCCCTGCTCATTCTCTAGTTGCTCTCTTGCTCTTCGTGCACTTGTAGAATCTCTTTGGATTAACGTTAACGTTAATCCATCAAGGCAATTTCTTATCCCCTCTTTGCCTTCCTGGTCTCCCGTTTAAGAATGCCCCTAAACTGTTTATAGTGGTCAAGAGATTCATTTAAACCCAGTTGTTTATATCTAATGTATGATTTTTTTTTTTGTTTTATTTTTGACTAAAACCTGAATATCTTTTTCATCGATTGTTCTTTAATCCTACCAGCCTTACCTTTCAATCTAACAGGAACACCATGATTCTGAACTCTCGTTAATATCACACTTTTATGAAAGCTTCCCAATTATCAGATGTGCCTTTGCCTGCAGTCTACTTCAATCTAATTCTAAAAGTTCTTGTCTCATACCTTTAAATTTGCCTTATCCTTAAATTTGGCTTATCCTTTTCCATAACTGTTTTGAAATGGATAGAATTATTGTCTATTATCTTGTTCCATTACTGTCACTTCTGCCCTATTACCCAAGAGAAGCTCAAGTTTTTTTTCTTTCTTTAGTAGGAGCATTGACTTGTAGATAAAGAACATGTTCTTGAACACATTTAACGTTATTATTCACCGTCCAAACCTTCAACACTATGGCAGTCCTAGTCACTGTTTGGAAAATTAAAATCACCAACTATTACAACCTTATTATTCTTACATATATCTGGATCTCTCTGCATATTTGTTCCTCAATTTCCCTCTGACTGTTGGGAGGCCTATTGTACAATCCCGTCAGATGATCATTCCTTTCTTATTTCTAATTTCAACCCATATGTTTTCACCGGATGATTTTTCAGAAATATCTTTTCTAGTTATAGCAGTAATGTTTTCCTTGATAAAACGCCACTCCCTCTCCTCTTTCGCCTCCCTTTCTATCCTTCCTATAGCTTCTGAAACCCGGAACATTAGTATGGGCAAAATATCTTGCAGGTGGTGTATAATGTCAGAAAATGTGAAATCATTCACTTCAAAGTTTTTGAGAAGATTTGTAGCTCAGGTTGTGGATGAGGTTGTAGACTTGCTCACCAAGCCAGTGTGTTGTGTCACCAGATGTGATGCCAACCAGCCCAGCAAACCAAGGCATATAAATAACAAGAACAGAACACCAACACTTCACTGGAGGCGCATTGATGATGTTCGGGTGACGAAACGTCTGCAGTCAAACATACCAGCTCAGTGAGAAAGTCTACAGCCTCATCATTCACTTTGGCAGGAAGAATAAGTAAGAGCAGAATATTCCTTAAATGGTGAATGACTGTAGAATTCTGAGATGCAGAGCAATTTAAGGTTTATAAAGTATGAGTTACAAAGTTAGTATGCAGATATGGCATTAATCATTGGGTCTTTTTCCATGCTGCCTGACCCTTCACTCCAAGTAGTCCATGCCGGCCATGTTCCCAAACTAAACTCAGCCCGTCTTCCTGCGTTTGTCTCATGTCACTCTAAACATTTTGAATTCATGGACTTGTCTAAATGTCTTTTAAACATTGTAACTGTACCCAGATTCACCACTTTCTCTGGTTGTACATTCCGTACACTGAGTACTGTCTTATGTGGGAAAGAATATTGCCGCTCGTGCCTTTTTAAAAATCTTTCTCCTCTCACCTTACAAATATGCCCCCTGGTTTGGAATTACCCCACCTGAGGGAAAAGAACTTTGGTACTCACCTCATCTACGCATCTCATGATTTTAAGAATCTCTGTAATGTCACCTCTCAAACTCCTACCTTCCAGTGAAAGAAGTCCCAGTGTATTCAACCTATTTTTATAACTCAAACCCTTCATTCCCAGCAATATGCTGGGAATTGTTTTTCTGAACCCACTCCAGTCGAATAATTTCCTTCCTATAAGTGTACGACCAGAACGGCACACTACTCCAGGAGAAGACTCACCAACATCCTTTACAACCTCAACCTAATGTTCCAACTCCTGTACTCCAAGGCCTGAGCAATGAAGACAAGTGTACTAAATGTCTTCTGTTTACCACTCTGTCTACCTGTGACGCAAACTTCAAAGAATGACGTACCTGAAACCCTAGGTCTCTGTTCTACAACACTACCCAGAGCCAAACCATTAATTATATATTCCTGCCCCTGTGAAGTATTACATTTTGGT